GCTTTCTGCATCACTCAAAACGCAGATAAGATAAATATTATCAATTGATTTCATCATCGAAATCCGAGATTCAACATTATTAGCCCTCCAAAATCCGAGATAAAACAATGAAAGATCTCTTTTATCCCTATATCATTCTTGTAAATATATTATATAATAATTAATAAAAATAACATGTTTTCTTTCCTTCGAGATATTTTCAAACTCTTATAATTATTCTACGATCACTATTAATATTATGATTATTCTACCAATTCATATATTAATATTATGTAAAAATTCACTAATGTTATTTTATTATTCATCTTTATCAAATCATTTAGTGATTTGAGGAATAATAATCTTTTGAATATAAAACAATAAGAAAATATCAACCTATATTTTCTTAATATCAAAATTAAAATTTAAGATTTTTTTACTTTCATTGATTTATTTATTTATAATAGTGTATCATTAGATTCAATTATCATGATTAGAACAATAAAATCTATATCCCTTTAAAATTTTTTGAATAACCAATAAAATATCTATAATAGTTTATGAACCCAAATTTTTTTCACGTGATTTGAAATTTTTTACCGATAACTCAAAAGAGTTGATATAATTAACTTTATCGAACTTTTGTTTATCATATTCTTTCAGCAATAATTAACAAAATAACTAATATAATCGGTTTAAGACTAGGTGTTTATGTCATGATGGGCAAAAGAATCTCGTTTCTTCGAGAAACACCGCCAATTCTAGTGACGAAAATACCACATGTGTTCAGAGATAAGTCAAAGTGATATAGATTCAACACATGTTTAGTAATAAACCGTATGATATTTTCGTTAATAAAATCGATGATACGAGAAAAAATAAATTTAAATTTAACTAGAAATTCTAATATAATTTTTAAAAATATAAAGATTGAGATAGTGAAGATAATTAATTATATGTATAATCTATAATTAACTCTATTATTTTATTAAATTTAATGATGAATCCAACCCAAAAGAAAAACATGTTAATCTATAATTAACATGCACTCACGTGAATGTTCGATCCCATAGAATAGCCCCCCCACACGGCAACATTTTTTCCTCCACCAATTTTCATAATGTCTGTTCATTGAGCAAGAGATGTTTTACTGCAAAACTTCAGTTCCAATCCACAACCTTTGCTTTCATTGAAAAACTATAACTTATTGAACAAAGAAATAAGGGAAGTGATTGTGTTGCTTTCATACTTAAAAATTATGTATATATATATATATATAAACTAAATTGCCCCTGTCAATATCTTCTGTCAGCATCCAAAACTAATATGGACTAGAAAAGCAGAACCAAATTTGACTTCAAATTGCCAACTGAAACATTTGGAGAAATACAGACAACAGGAACACCTAAAAATACTCTTACCAAGACAGATGAAAAGGTAGCAGGAACACGGAGGAAGCACTAAGTTGCTATGATCTCTTCGACAGAAAATGCACCAACTAAGTTGCTATGATCTCTTCGACAGACAAAGCACCAACTAAGTTTGAAACTTTTGATTGGAACTATCAAGAATCAAGTTAATATAATGACGTAATTCGGAAAAAGAAAAATGATCTGATAACAACAGCCCCCCTATTTTCCCTCTAACAAGCAGTAACAGTCTGGCAATTGGAAGATGACCAGATGATGTCCTTGAGAGCAGGGCGGAGCTCATCTGCGCAGAACTTCTGATACTCAAGGGTGTCACCGTCGTCCCTCCTGACCTCCACCACGAGCACAGATGGTGCTAGTGCAAATATCTGTGTGGCAATTGCTAGTTTCCCCTTCCTCCCCCTACTCTCTCCTTCCAACCACACCCCTGCTGCGCTGCTCTTCGTCACCCGATACTTTCCTGCTGTCTTTGCTGCCACGCCTTCCAGCTTCGACACGATGCTGCTTGCTGGCTCCCTCGTCGTGAACCTCATTCCATCCTCCCTTATTCCTTCTCCTCCAAACAGAGGAGAGAGGTCAAAACCCTCGGAGAACGATATCAAATGGAAAGCATTCAACTTCTCTGGCTCCTCCATCTGCCCCTGCTTTCCGTTCTCCTCCGTCGTCGATTGTGCTGGTACCGGTTTCTGCACCGTGCACTTGTTGAACCATGATGTCTCGATGAGCTTGGCCACAGTGATTCTCGTGTTAGGATTGGGGTCGAGCAACTTGGTGATTACACGCCTGGCACCAGAAGAAATCCATGGCGGGCACTGGAAATCACCACGGCAGATCTTCTTGTACATAGCCATCATGTTACCATCCCGGAAGGGCAAGAATCCTGCGAGAAGAACGAAGAGAATGACACCGCAGGACCACACATCGGCCTTTGCCCCATCGTAGCCCTTTCTGCCGAGCACCTCCGGGGCGACATAAGCGGGCGTGCCGCACGTGGTGCGGAGGAGCCCATCCCCGGGGACATGGTCGATCAGGGCGCTCAGCCCAAAGTCGGCAACCTTCAAGTCGCCGTGCTCGTCCAGGAGGAGGTTCTCCAGCTTGAGATCGCGGTGGTAGACGCCGCGGCGATGGCAGAAATCGACAGCAGCAACCAGCTGCCGGAAGTACTGGCGGGCGGAGGCCTCGGAGAGGCGCCCGGATCGGGCGACCCGGGCGAAGAGCTCGCCCCCGCGGACAAGCTCCATGGCGAGGTAAATCCTGGAACGGGTGGCCATGACCTCATGAAGCTCGACCACGTTGGGGTGGCGCACCATCTTCATGGCAGAGATCTCACGCTTAACCTGCTCCATCATCCCGGCGCGGACGACTGCCTCCTTATCCACCACCTTCACGGCGACGCTCCGCCCGTTGCGGATGTCGCGGGCGAGGTGGACCTTGCCGAAGGTGCCGCGGCCGAGGACGCGACCGAGCTCATAGCGGCCATCGAGGACACCTCCACGCCCGCAATCCTCCATCACGGCACCAACGGTTGGTACAATCAACCCACCTAACTGCGCTGCAAGAACTTGCGGTGGCAGCTCCTGCCGGCGCGCTTCCTCCGGCTGCCGCCTCGGCAGAGCTTAGAGTCCAACCCCTTCCTCTTCATCTTGCCGCATCCCCGAGGATAGAGTGAACGAGGCGGCGGAGAAGCGAAGGCGACAACAACAGAGGAAAGGGGCGGCGGTAGATGCCCTTCCTCCTTGCGGGTTTTCATATATATACGGGAGGAAGATTTGGTCTCGTTACGACATACCGCGTTGAGACAAAGGAGAGAAGGGGTGAGAAGAATATTGAACCGTCGGATGGAGATCGAACGGGAGGCGGAGGAGATTAGGAAGAGTCGCGGATGGTGGAATTTCCTTCCGGTATAAAAATGGAAGCCAACCAGGCGTCTCATTGACTACCATGTCGTCATCGTATGTCATCCCTGACGTTGATTTGGGGCAACGGTGGATCCTGGCCGTCGGATCGGATGGACGAATTGGCCGCCATACGTACAGGTAGGAAAGAGAAAAAAAAAAGGGCCCCGGAAGAGTTCTGAACCGTCTGATGGAGATTAAACGGGAGGATGGAAGAGCGTAGGAAGAGCCGTGGATGGTGGGAATTCTGACCGTCGGAAGCGGCGGGCGACACAACTGTTCCACTCGCTTCCGTGTCGCCATCGTATTAAATCCCAGACGTTGATTTGGGGCATGGGTGGATCTGCCGTCCGATCGGCTGGTTGGGCTGGCCGCCACTTGCACAGGTAGAGGTGAGCTGGATGTGAAGCATATCGTTGATGGCTAAGGATTGAATAGTATGTGTAAAAATTGATTTGAAATCATCGAAAATGAGATCAAAACAGGCTATATATATATATATATATATGTCATTTGATTATAATAATTTATTTTATTATAATCAAAGCGAAATTCTTCTCGAACGTGATCAGATTAAATTAGGTCAATTCAATCCCATGTAATTAATTACCAAAACTAACACTAACAATCACCATAAATCACAAGATGATATTTTTTAAGAGTTAATAACAGTAGATGGTGCGTGTGTTCTAGTCAATGACATATGTTCGATCCAATGCAACGAACTGCCAATGTCAACCTCCTACTGAACCCGTGGGGAAATTTCCATTGGAAAAAGACCCAACGGAAGACGAAGGGGAAATCAGCTCAACCGGTCAACGGTGCTTCCTTGCGGGCACCAGCCTTGTCAAATTTTAGGTGCTGCGGGCTTGACTCGGTCGCCCACGTCTCGACTTCCTTTTTCGGCGATCACAGCACACTGTTCCTCATTACCAGCATGGCGACGTTTCCTGGATGCTCTCTCTCTCTCTCTCTCTCATAACAACTCCATGTCTTGCCCAAGTTATGTACTCATCCTTGCTGCAGCGTCAAAGCAGAAAGAAGAGTCAACGATTCGCTCGAGCGTGAAGTTGGCAATATGGCTCGATCACCCCTCTGTCGACCTCGATCTCATCATTGATGGACAGTACCCATCAATCTAATCATCACCATTAGACATTAATATCAATTTTAAATATTCTTTCGATATATTTAATTTGTATTTACATTTCTAACGTTAAGTTAAAAAAGTAAAAAATAATTATCAATATTTTATATATTTAAATTTTATTTTTTAACTCATGAATAATCTCAGTAAATTGGATGATAACTAAGAAAAGTGGCATATATCCATATGGAAATGAGATATTAAAATTTGGAAAGGCATATATGTTAATACCAAACTTGAAAGTATAGACACGTAAAGCCACATATAACAAAAAAAGATACTGGAATTTAGTATTATTTGAATTTGTATGCGGATTCGGATTCGTTTAACCCAATACCTGATCCGTTTGCTCACCCAATTAGGCTCTCTTCACTGCATTAGCCGATCTTGTGGATCGAGGTCGGTGTCCAATAAGATCATGGGCGTTAGACACATCGATTAACGGTTGAGATGCTTTCAGAAAATGGATCTCATCCGTTGGATCGATGGGGACAAACATGGGAAAACAAAACCTGAGGGTACGATTTAGGACCTGCTTGGAGCAACCGGCGCGAAGAGCGGCGTCCGCAGCCTCCTCCTCCGCCTCCTCGATTTCTCCGGCCACTTCTTGGCCTCCGCCGCCACCTTCGTAGAGTCCCGGGCGTTTCGAATACTCCTCTCCTCCGTTGTCCCCGACAACGCGCCAGCGGTGCTCCGGAAGTCCGATCACGGTTGAGGGTGAAGAGTGCCGCACAACCCCGCCGGAACCTTAAGAAGAGATAGGCAGTTTCTGCTCATCGTTTGCTTGAAGGTGACAGAGATAGCATATACGCACCGTGGTATAGCCCACGAGCTCCATTTATACTCTCGTGATCCGAAACGCCTACTCTAAAACCCTCAAAACCCCTTCTTTCTTTGGCGGCGCCTCTTCGCCACCGATGGAAGTGGTGATCGCCTCCTCCCCGGTGGACGCCGGCATCGGTTGTTGGGACCTACGCTCGGGCTCCGAGCAGCTCCGGTACCGCTCGTGCTCCTCCGCTCCACATGGCCTCCTCTCCATAGCCGGCCGCTTTCTCGCTTCGTCGCAGCTCCGCGATTCCCCTTCCTCCGCCTCTTCCCCCATTTTCTTCTGGTCCTGGGATAAGGTGAGTCCTAATCCGAACCTTTCTTCCACATCTCCACTTCACGCCCTGTTTCATACTCGTGTTGGATAAACGATCTCATAATTCTCGCTCTATGTTTCAGCCTCAGGTGGAAGTTAGGAGCTTCCCGGCTGAGCCGATTGGACCGCTTGTTTCCAATTCAGAAGGCACTTACATCATGGGAGGAGGACCATCCGGCAGCATCTACATCTGGGAGGTAATCTTTTGCTTTTCCACTTCTGATTTCTTAGGCAAGATTTGCTTTTTCTGTCGTCTTCTCTTTAAGACACTGGTATGAGAATTTTCCGTCTGCTTGGGACTCAAATTTTGATGCACGACTTTTGGTCTGTGTGTCCAAATCTGTTCTTGATTCTCTCATCCACCTTGTTTAAAGTCAAAGGGGCCCTATTATGCTTTCATTTTGGTTTTGATGTCAAAGTTTGTTTTGTTTTGTTTTCTAATGTTTGTCTTGTTAGCTCCCTCTCTTCATAGAAAAACTCATAAGAAAAGCTTAGATTTGTCTTTAAATTTATCAAGGTTGCTAGTGGGAAATTGCTCACAAGGTGGCATGCACATTATCGGTCTGTCACCTGTCTCACTCTCTCCAAGGACGAGTCTTTGCTAATATCAGGGTCTGAGGATGGCTCTGTCAGAGTTTGGTCCCTTATGATGTATGTAATTCCTACTAAGTGTTTTTCTCGTCGAAATTGTTCCTTTATGTTGTCTTGTCTAAAATGCTAATATGATTTTTGTAATGTTTGTCAGGATGTTTGATGACATGGCAAAGGCTTCTGCTGGTGTTCTTTATAGATATAGCTTTTCGGAACATGCTTTACGTGTCACTGATGTTGTTACGGGACATGGGTTATGCAACTCCATTATCATCTCATCCTCAGAGGATCGAACATGTAAGGTTCGTTAGTTGTTACACTTTGTACTTCTTTGAAAAGAGTAGTTGGTTATATTAGGAAATTAGTTGTCAATAGGAACAGCACCAGATGCTGAGGGACTTCACTGTTGTGTAACTTCAACTGAAAATTTTTGAGGTACACAAATGATGCATCTGAATTTAGAGGTTAATTTCCCTGAATTAGATGTTAGCTTATAATATATCACCTCATAACTTACTCTTAGTCTTTGTTTCAAAACAAAGTCTAACTCTGCTCCTCAAGTTGAACATGCTGATGGTAAGAATCTTTCTTTTCAAAATTTTACTGTAGTGGCAGTATCTTGGTAGCTTGAACAAAAGTTATTTGCTTTATTCTTTCTTTGTCCTAGCCCAATTTAAACTTTGACCTTATGAATGTAATGATAAAGTAGATTATAGATGCTTATTAGGGTCAAGGTGCTCTCAATGGTGTGACCACCTTTTTTGCAGAATGTCAGTTCC